TGATCAAATATACATGATTTCTTATATATAAGCATGTTTATTTAATCTAAGCATTTTTATGACATTTTATCACATCATTTTCAATTTCTTAGAATTCCTACATTTCAGTTTCTAAAAGTTTAGATTTGAAAATTTTATTTAGAAAATTAAACTCCTTCTTGTCAATATATATTTACTTACTTTTTAAAAATTTATTTTATGAAGAAAATAAAACAAAACAAAACTTCATAGCAAAATAAGAAGAAAACAATAGGTAATACACTGTGTGTATCGTAATCTTCAAATTAGTTCTTTAGAATATAAGACAGACAAGATTCTGTCTCACAAAAAATAACAGACAAAATAAAAACCTTTCTTTTTGGTAAATTAAAAGAAACTAATAAAAATGAAATAAATTGGCATATAAAATATTTTTTATAAGATGGAATAGATAATTTGGAGAATCATTTGAACTTCTTTCTACTTCCTATTTATCTGTCTTCTATTTTGCTCTCTTTCTCTCTTTCTATATATATTTTTTTTGTCATGTAAGAAAAACCACAGATATTTAAGCTTATGTGTCTGACTTTTTTCATTTAATATTATGTCCTTTATTTGCATCCACTTACATTTGAATGCCTCCAGGTAATTTTTATTTGAAAGGAACTCTCCTACTTGTTGGTGGGAATGTACAATAGTACAACCACTATGAAGATCAATGTAGTGATTCTGCAAAATACTAAAAATAGAAGTTCCATTTGGCCCAGTTATTTTCCCTTCTCGGTGACTTCTCAAAAGAGTTAAAATCATCATACTGGCATACATGCATATCTAGGTTTATAGCACACAATTTATAATTCCTACATCTTGAATGCAGTGTATATATGTGCTGCAATGGATGAATGAATAAGGAAAAAATTTATTGACTTTTTATAGTAGGACCAGAGCATGCAGAGAGTAGTACTACCTTCTGGTCCACAGGCTCAAGAGAAAATCTTCCTTAGTATGATCAACTCATTCTGCTCATTAATTCCACAGGTAATACTGAACAACTCTTATGAACCAGCAATGCTCTAGGCATTTGGGTTCCACCAGTGAATAGGGCAAGGATATTCTACAAATGCAGGTGGAGTGAATGACAGTAGGAATATACCCAACTCCTATTTATTATTTAATATGATGGAAAATGGGGGAGGGGCAGGCAAAATGTGAAATGGAGCAAGTTAAGAGGACCAGGAAAGTCAGGGCTCAAGTCTATCAAAGGTGTTCAGTGTGGGCCCACTATAGGCCACACCTGAGAAAAAACTGGAGCAAAGTTCACAGAATTCACTATGACCTTGAGGCTCAATGTAGAGCCAAGGGCAGATTCACCTGCTAGCTCCCCCCAGGTGATGGACACAGACAACTGCCCATCCTCTAAAGATTAGCATGCATAAGACTATCTGATAGACATTTGATGTTGATGTAAAATACTTCAGAAATTCTCATTTTGTTACTTGTTACATGTCTTAATTTCATTTCATGGGAACGAGTGTGGGATTTATCTATTTTTTTCATCTTTACATTTTCTCTTTAGCTAAAACAAGGAAATGCAAAATGATTCCTGAGAATCAGACTTCCAGCAGGGATTTCATTCTTCTGGGACTGTTCTCTTCCTCCCACACCAGCCTGGTCTTCTTCTCCTCTCTGTTCATCGTTTTCATCCTGACTGTCACAGAAAACACCCTCCTGATCCTCCTCATCCACAGGGACTTCCACCTCCACTCCCCAATGTACTTCCTGCTCAGCCACCTCTCCTTCATGGACATCTTGCACATCTCCAACATCATCCCCAAAGTGATCACCAACTTCCTGTCTGGCACCAGAACTATCTCCTTTGCAGGCTGTGGATTCCAGGTCTTCCTGTCCCTCATCCTGCTAGGTGGTGAGTGCCTTCTCCTGGCTGCCATGTCCTATGATCGCTATGTGGCCATCTGCCACCCTCTGCACTATGTCATGCTCATGAGTGACAGTGTCAGTGTGCTCCTGGCCATGGGGTCCTGGCTAGTGGGGACCCTGAACTCCATAGTCCACACAGCCTATGTGCTCCACTTTCCCTTCTGTCACTCCAGGACAATTGATCACTTCTTCTGTGAAGTTCCTGCCATGCTGAAGTTGTCATGTGTGGACACGTCACAGTATGAACAAGGAATTTATGTAAGCGGCATTATTTTCCTGTTGATCCCTTTCTCCATGATCTCTGTATCTTATGTCAAAATTCTACATACAGTCTTGCAAACAAAATCCTCAGAGGCCAGGAAAAAGTCCTTTTCCACCTGTTCCTTCCACATGGTTGTGGTCATCATGTACTATGGGCCCTTTATTTTCACATACATGAGACCCAAATCCTACCACACTCCAGGCCAGGATAAGTTCCTGGCCATATTCTACACCATCCTCACACCCACCCTCAACCCTATCATCTACAGCTTCAGGAATAAAGATGTTCTGAAGGCCATGAAAAATATGCTCAATTGTATTCCCCTGGCTAAAAAATGAATGAGAATAGTCCTCTACTTTGGGTTTTCTCTTCTTGTCATATCTTGTAACTCCAGGATATTCACTATGTTTACCTGGCAAGACAATTAAAGCTTCTTTTCTTGCTTTCAAAATAAATGTGTTGTTGAGAACTTTGCTGACAATAAGTAATACATATGTTATTTTTGTGAATGTAAACCTCTAAAACTGTACTCTCCCTTCTCAGGTACTAATTATGATGTAATTGTGGTAAGAGCTGATCCAAGGCTTCTAACTAACTTCCACTAAATTTATGAGAACTCCAACGCATCATGTTTCAAGACTCACTCACACAGACTTTCTATGTGAAATATGAATTCTTATCCTGGCTGCATTTTCAATTTCTATCTAATATACACTCAGATCTCATCATGCATTATTTCATAGATAACTTGCAATAAGTCATGCTATTCTTACCACTTATAATATGCAGTGCCCTAGCATGACAATAATTAAAATTTACATTTTCTATACAGGGAAGAGTACAGTCAGATATAGTTTTATCCCTAGTGACTCTTCTTTTAAGTTTGATTCATATTTCTGTAAACATATACAATATTATATTTACAGACTTGTCTATTGATACACAGTTTGCTTTGCAGTTAGATGTCCTGAGTATCTTCTGCTCTTATGAACTCAGGTGTGTATTTGACCATGTATTCGCAATCAACACGCCCATCTTCTGTGACAGGTTCCAGTGTCCCAAACCTCTTCCCACTGCTAGTGACTCAGTAACCCTTCCCCACATAACCATTTGCATAGGCCTTACCTTCCCCACCCTGACAATGCAGTTATTCTCAGGTTGTGTCCAGGAAGAGGAGTTCATGGGATCTTTCCATCTTCTAGCCTGCATGTGCATTGCATAAACTCCACACACAGAAGCCTAGAGTCTGAGTGTGTTGAGTTATAATGCATGGTGGGCAGCAGGTGCTGCACATGTCAGCAGACATATCTTTTTTCTGTAATGCTGTATGTCCTCATGTCTGCTAACTCTAGATTGAGTTCATCTTATTCTCTCTGGCTTTCACTGAAAACAGCAAATTAATCATCACTATTTTAATGCTTATTTGGTTTACTATCTCATTGCTGCACTTTTGTCTTCTAGGCAAAAGCACAGAAAGAAAAGTTGAATATCTTGCTAATCACCACATTGCACATCCCCCAGACTTCTCCAAAGTGCTGCATCTTTGCTATCTTCTTCTTCCTTCAAAGGACAGACTTTTAAAATTCCCAGTGCATAATCATAGAGTAGTTGGTTCTGTCTTCAGTATGATACAATTATTAAGTAGGAAATTTTTCAACACAGAGATATACATGTTTAGAGAATAATGTACAAAATAGGGCTACAGTTGATAAAACTATATTGTATGAATCACCTTTGTTTAATAATTATACTTTTTTTATTCACAAACCATGTCTATGTCTGTGCTAGCCATTTTCCCATCAACTTATATCCTAGAGAACCATGTTATAAATGCCAAATATGAGTTGCAAAATTTATTTCAATCAGTAAATGAGAGGTCATTTTTAAGCCCTGCATTGGAGACAAGGCTGATGTGACAGTCCCAGAGGGCTCTGGATCCCCATGGTCAGCAAGAAATGGCCTGGTGGCTCAGCCATCTGAGTGGAGTCTCTGGGGGCTGCTCCCTGTGGGACAGCACAGAACCATTCATTGCTGGACCCTGCATTGTCTTGGCCCTGCACTGAATAGGAATGGTGAGGCAGGAAGAAGGTCTGTGACTGCAGTTCCCACCACACCACGTTCAGTTGTCCAGAGTTCAGAGGTGTCTCTGTCCTGCATATGCAGAATGTTGAGAATGATAAGGTTTGATGCTGGAGGGATAAGGCCACTTGGGCACTGTGTGAGTGACAGGGAAGGCGGAGGTATGTTTCCAGCCATTAGGACCACATGGACTGGCCAGGGAGGGGAAACTTGGGAGAGGAGCTTATGGAGAAGAAATATGGAGATTACCTTACATGCAAGTTAGGGGCACAGAGGATTTTATTTCAGGTCTGAGCTGCTGCTTGTGGTAATGACACTCACCACTGACTGGGCAAATGCAGCTCACTGGGATGCAGTGACCTCACCCTGAGACAGCAGTCATTCATACTGCAGATGATGACAGCATGTGTCCAGCCCACAGTCCTGCTGTCCTGGGCAGGTTACAGGGAGATGGGAGAAAAATTCCCAGTATCCTGTGAGGGAGACATTCTATTGAAGGGCTAGCAGGAAAGGATGGGGCCCAGTGGTGGCAGGGTGGACAGGACAGGAATGCCCAGGCACACAGCATGTCCACTGGAGCTGGTTGGACTAATAGTTGCCAAAGGCAGGGGCTGTACAGGGAAACTGTTGGAGAATTCAGGAAATGCCATGGAGCCCTGGATGGCTGTGCCCTGTCCCATAGCTGGACCCACAGGGAGGCTGCTGCAGATTAAAGTAACCATCACTGGCATTACTGGTTTGTGTGTCCTCTCACATGTCCAGCAGTGCAAGGGACAGGAAGAGTCTTCCCACAAATGGAGTGAGCCTGCTAGTCCCCTGGCTGAGGGAAGTCAGGAAACACTGGTGCAGATGCCCCATTCCAGCTCCAGTCCCTTAGAGTGTTCCTTCAACTTGACAAGCAACTTTAGAAGACATAAGGGAGTTTCAGGGACATTGGGCTAAATCCCTAGTTTTTCTCTGGGATGATGCAATATACCATGAGTTTTTGGATGACATGGAGTACTCCAAAGAGTCACAGGGGCAGAATACTTAATTACAACTGTCAGTGGCTGGTAAATGTGAAAGTGTGAGCAGATGGGGTGGCCACCTCCAGCAGGAGGAGCAGGGCTCTGCCCTCTCACACAGCTGTGTGGATGTGAGAGAGAAACCTAACTACACCTTCTCCCAAGATACATCATGTCCTCTGCCCTTCAGAGAGATCCACAAACAATGGATCTTAGCAGGTTGTGAGTCCATTACATAATTCTGACCCACGGAAGTGTATTCCATTCCATTTTATTCACTTATATTCTATCATATCTCCTCAACCTCTCTCTCCTAGTTAGCAATAATAGCTCAAATGTTTATCTAAAGAATATAAAAAGAATACCTATCATAATCACACTGTAATAATATACATGATAATATAGTAATAATTGAAAAAATTTTAGTCATTGTCTCTGAGAACATGCCAGTACCAGGTTCTGGGGTGTGTGTGTGTGTGTGTGTGTGTGTGTGTGTGTGTGTGTGTGTGTGTGTGTGTATGGCTGTTATGTTATTAACCCTCTGTCTGTTTTTTGTGTTTGTGGTTCTTGGCATTGAACTTGGAACCTGGCACTTGGAAAGCAGGCAGTGGAACCACTGAGCTAAATCCCTGGCCCAATTCTCTGTCTTTTAATTTCTAAAACATTATGAGGTACTTGATATAATATAAATTGATTTCAGATCAATTCATTCCAGAATGCTGCAGTTTACCAAATTTGAGGACTTATTCCTCTCTTTAAATATTAGGAAATAAATTGCTTATTTTGCTATTTTCTTAATATAATTACATGAGAAAATAGAAAACTCAATCCTAGGGGAGGCAGAGCATTATATATTTACTGTACCCCCTCCATAGTATGGCATAAAGTCCACTATTGTATGAAATCTACATTTAGGGTAATTCAGTGTTCAATACCTGCCTCTACCAAGCAGTTCCTATGTAGGTCAGAGAACTATGAGCAGCAGCCACCTAGTTTTCATCTGTTGGTCACCATCCCAGGAAATATCACCATTTGAAATTTTCTCATAGAACTTAGCAGTATTGATGACAAATGGGTCATTAATATTAATAGCTTGTAATTTTATTTTGGTATCAGGAATCAACTTGGGACCTTGCACTTTTGTGGCAGGCATGAGAACCACTGAGATAAATGGCTGGC